TTCATGCATGTGTTTCTAACGCATTTATAAGATTATTTCTTTGTTGCTTTGTATGTCCCTCCCCCACAGTGTAACCCCCGCTTTCACTATATTTGATGTCAGTATAACTTGTGGAGGAGATGGGGACAAACAAGTCGTTTAAGGATTCAGGTGGACCTGTTGCAACAATGAGAAGTACAAAATGTCATGTCAAAAATGAGCTTTACAATGTCGGTGTGGGGGGGGAAGGATTGGGCGGGGGGGAGGGGGGAGGCTTGGAAGGGAGGTGAAGGGTAAACAAAGGAGGAGGCTGCAATGCTTGGTAAGAAATGTATGCATTATCCTGCCCATGTAATTGTAACCCCTCTGTACAGTATGTTCTCAAATAAAATAAAATAAAATTTAAAAAAAAAAAAAAAAAAAAAAAGAGGAAACATGCACCTTTGGTCTGTTTTCCAGGTCCATCCATTTTTTTTACAAATAACATGAATTGGAGGGGCTGGGAAGGTAGCTCAGTGGTAGAGTGCTAGCCTTGCATGCATGAGGCCCTGGGTTTGATTCCCCAGCACCACATAAGAAAAAAGAAAAAAGCCGGAAGTGGTGCTGTGGCTCAAGTGGTAGAGCGCTAGCCTTGAGCTGAAGAGCTGAGGGACAGCACCCAAGCCCAGAGTTCAGGCCCCATGACCGGACCCAAAAAAAAAAACAAATAACATGAATTGGAAAAGAGTGTGGGAAGGGGTGGCATTGTATAAAAAGAAAATGTACTCTTTACCTAATTTATGTAACTATAACCCTTCTGTGCATTTTTACAATAACAAGAAAAAAAGAAAAAATGATGCAATATAATTCTTCCTAATGGATGAATAAAATCCCATCTTTATCTTTTTCTCCACTGAGAACATCTAGGCTGTTTCCATATCTTCAGTATGATAAATAATGCAGAAAAGACACTTAAAGCCCTTGGCTTATATACGGGTTTCATAGGGTATTAGTGCTCCCACTTCTCTGTTTTGTTTCTTGGAGTTCAACTGGGAAGGCACTCAGAAATTGCTGAGGTTCCAGAGAAACCAACAGATGTAGCTCATGTTGGTGGCAGATCTTGGTATCATCCACATGATGATGGTTTTACAAGCATATAAATGCAAAAGTTATGGAGGCTTCCACTGAGGTTTTGAAGGAAAGCCTGGGAAGCAAGGCTGTATATGGCCATCAGAGTCCCTGTATACAACCCAAAGGATAGTGATGTATGAAGGTTTGAGAATGAAGCTGAAACTGCACCAGAAATCCCTAGAAATTGAAAATGATAGAAATCTGGAGATAACTGCTAAAGAAGGTTGCAGGCAATGAGTAGAGTCCAGCCATATGGGCTATGACTGACAATGCTGTATTAGTAAGGTTGCCTAAACCCTTTGAGGGTTACATCATGCTACCATATGCCCCAGATGACAGACATCAGGCTATAGGAATGTTTTCCTTGCTGAGTCACATCATTCTGTGTAATGTCCCTCTTCTTTCCCTTTTATAACAGGATTTACTCAGTGCCATTATATCTTGGAAGTATATAACCTTGTTTGTTTTTTTCTTCTTCTTTTTTTTTTTTGTTAGTCGTGGGGATTGAACACTGGGCCCGGGTGCTATCCCTCAGCTCTTCAGCTCAAGGTGAGCACTCTACCACTTCAGCTACAGCACCACATCCAGTTTTCTGGTGGTTTTTATTGGAGATAAGCGTCTCATGGAGTTTCTTGCCTGGGCTGGCTTTGAACCGTGATCCTCAGATCTCAGCCTCCTGAGTAGCTAGGATTACAGGCATGAGCCAGTGGCACCTGGCATAACCTTGTTTTTTTTTTAGTTTATTGATATTACAAGTTTACTTTGCATCTCAGAGGAAATTCTGGACTTAAATTTATGAGTAATACTAGAACTGTTACGATTACAAGGTAGATTAGATGTATTTTGCATTGTGAGTAGGCCATGAACCTTTTGGGACTGGGGTGCAGTGTTATGGTTTGGTTCTTAACTGTTCCCCAGAAGCTTTACTCAATTGTGCTAAGGAGCTGTCCATTGCTATCACAAAATACCTGAGATGAAAATCAAGTTATAAAAAGTAAAGACTTCTTTTGCTTTATTATTTCAGAAGTTGCTTGGCCCCCATCACTTTGAGTTGCAGCTAGACAGAGCATCATGGCAGGAAAATTGATATTGCAGGAAAGCTTCTCACATCAAGCTGTCAAGAAACAAAGAAAAGCCAGGCACCAGTGGCTCATGCCTGTAATCCTGGCTACTCAGAAGGCTGAGATTTGATGATCGTGGTTCAAAGCCAGCCCAAGCAGGAATGTCTGTGAGATTTATTTCCATAAACCACCAGAAAACCAGAAGTGGCTCTGGGGCTCAAGTGATAGAGCACTCACCTTGAGCTGAAGAGCTGAGGGACAGCGCCCAGGCCCCATGACCAAAAAGAAAAAAAAAAAAAAAAAGAAAAAAGGAAAGAAAAAAAGAAAAAGAAAAGAAAGAAAGAAAGAAACAAAGAGAGGAGAAGGAGCCAAGGTCCTAATATACCCTTCAAGTGCATTTTCCCCCTGACTTCTTTCCTCCAACTAGGCCCCATATTAACATTTCTGCCACACAAAATCCCAACAGTCCTATAGCTGAGAAGATTCATTTACAGGAAAGAACTTTGAATCTAATATATTGATATTTGAGTCCCACATAGCTGTATTTTTTGTATGACCTTGTGTATAATATTTCTCTGATCCACAGTTTGTCCAAAAATAAATAATACCTATATTATCTCACAGGAAGCTGGAATGAATAAGATAGTAATATATCTTTAGTAATTTTCAAATAATAATGCATATCACCTACATTATTATATAGTTACTAAAAGTGCTGTATCTCTTGGAAGGAAATTTCTGTGGAAGTCCAGTGTCTTACAATTAAATGGTAATATGTGATGTAATTATGTTTAATTGATCTGGTTTCTATGCTTCCAACTTTCTCAATTTTTTATGTGTGTGCCAGTCCTGGGGCTTAAACTGAGGGCCTGGATGTTGTCTTTGAGCTTCTTTATGCTCAAGGCCAGTTAGCACTCCACCACTTGAGCCACAGTGCCACTTCTGAATTTTGGGGGGTGGTTAATTGAAGATCAGAGTTTTATGGACTTTCCTGCCTGGGGTAGCTTTGAACTGTGATCTCAGATCTCAACCTTTTGAGTAGTAAGGATTACAGGTGTGAGCAACTAGTGCCTAGCTTATCTCAACTTTTAAAAGTATGATCTTCTCATAGAAGTAACCATGCAAACCTAAGAACTCTAGCAACAAAATATGAGGTGATGACTTTGGACACAGCATGATCAGGGTAATGTTGACATCCCACTACAAGTAAATATGTCAAGAAAAAGTTGGAAGGAAGAAGAGAAGGTGAAATTAAAACATAAGACAGGAGAGGGTAGTCGTGAGAGTAATGACATATTTTAAGAGTTACTGGGTCAGAGAAATATGTAAAGCATTTCATAGACTTTCCTCAAAATGACTAAAACAAATTAATATTCACCTACCCAACAACATTTATTTTATTTATTTAGTGTTACTGAAAGCAGTACAAATTCTGTGGAACCTAGTAAAAAGAAGATGGCATATGGTCAAATTCTAAACTATATACTCTGAAAAGTTACTTAGCCTCTTTTCCATCTCCTTGCCAAGAGCACCCTTCCAAAACAGTTATGTTTGTAAAATGGATTATGTGCCATTGTGCATTTTTCAGCAAAGATACAATATTGAGAGGTCTATTCACAAATTCAAATTTTCTCATACATTGTATCTCATATTGACATTGTCCCAGTGTATCACTTACACATGTTGTTGTTGTTTTGGCATTACTGAAATTTGAACTTGGGGTTTCATTTGTTAGGGAGGCACTTCATCACATGAGCCACATTTCCAATCCTGTGTTGCTTTAGTTACATTTCATGTAGATGCCCATTTTTTGCCTAGGACTGGTTTAACTCCAAGATTCACTTACCTACTGCTTCCTACAGAGCTGTAATCAAAAGCAGGAATCACTGTGCTGGCCTCTATTTTGGCTTTTTATCACATATGACTTAGGTAAAAACTGAATTGTGTCTTTTTCTTTTTTGTGAAAACATCTTTTCTTTACCTATCTCTAAAATCATCTGAGACTAGACTGAGGGCAATTCTGTAGGAGGACCAAAGTAATTTCCTTGGGCAAAAAGAATATCTTTCATCATTTCATAACTTAGTGATCCAAACCTTTGAAACTTCTTTTCTATTCAGTAACACAAAACTAAGAAAATTGTTTCTGAATTAGCTAGATGCATTCAATTTCCCCAAAAGGCATATATGAATAATTTTAAGAAATTAAAAAATCTCCCTTGTACCATAGAAAGTTTTGGATTTAGAGTCATGGAAGGAGGCTCTTGTGTAACGTCTATAGTACTTCAGAGTTTTCTTAAAAGTGTGAGGCCATCTGTAGGCTGTGTGTGTGTGTGTGTGTGTGTATTATATATATAATATATTGTAAAGATACTGTACGGAAGAATTACAGTTATATGAGTAAGGTAATGAGTACATTTCCTATCAAGCATTGTTACCCCCTCCTTTGTTTGGTTGTGTGTTTAATGTTTTTCTTCCATTAACAATGTAAGCCAATACCAGTGGCTCATGCCTATAGTCTTAGCTACATAGGAGGCTGAGATCTGAGGAACATGGTTTGAAGCCAGGCACAGAAGGAAAGTCCATGATACTCTTGTCTCCCAATTAAGCACCAAAATGCCAGAAGTGGAGTTGAGGCTCAAGTGGTAGAGTACTAGCCTTGAATAAAAAAGCTCAGAGGTAGTGCCCAGGCCCTGAGTTCAAGCCCTCCTCACCCTCCAAACAAACAGAATTTTCTACCTAATTCTGTCTATGATCCTTTAAAAATCTGGGACTATGTGCAGTGATGACTGGTTTGCAACAGCAGCTGTGACTGACAGGGGAAAAGGAGTGGTCAGAAACATACTCACTTACCCAGAGAAAATATTTCCCAAAGCAAAACTCCAAAGGACCACACATCACTCTGGGTGGTATAAATCTTGTCAAAAATAGCTTCAGGAGCCATCCACTTAAGTGGGAGTCTTGCCTAGAAAACCAAAAATAGAGAGAACCATGAGAAGAGAGTCCATAACATTGACAAGGCCCAAGATCCTGGAATTGGTGCTATGTATCAGAGAAGCTTGAACTTACATCTCCTTTCCAAACATAATCAGGATCATTGTATATGTCCCTGGCCAAACCAAAGTCACAGATCTTCACAACATTGTTATCAGCTAGAAGGATGTTCCGAGCAGCTAAGTCTCGATGGATGCACTAAAGAAAGGGAAAAAAGATACTTCTGAGTGTTGTGAGGCCCTAGGAGGGTGCAGGTTAACAAATTTTCAGCCAAGGGACAGGCAACATTTAAGTGTGGAAGACAGAAGCAAAGTGTGGAAAAGGAATAGGAGATCAGAAAATGAATGGAAATGTGGAAAAAGTATACAACTCCAGATGAAAACTGTCTTACGTTAATATTTACCAAGATATAGATGATTAATCAATTCTAAAATTTGACTTGGGGGGGAGAGGGTAAAACCTCTACCACACTTGCATGATATCTCCCATTTAGCTACCTCCTATATGCTTTGATCTTGGATCCTGGGTAAATATATTACCTGAAATTTGAACATAAGTGTATCCTCTCATGCTGTATTATATGATTAGTATCCTCGGTTACAAATATATTTTCTTTCATTACACAACTGTAATGATCTCTCAGATGTTTTCTCTGCTTCTACTCTAGCCCCATGGACTATTCACCTGTTTGTTCACCCTGACAATCAAAAGTAAATTCCTAAAGTATCAACCTGAACCTGAGCATGTGGTATTTCTGGCTAACATTAATTCTGTGGCAACTGGAAATCATGAAACTTTGGCATTGTGCTCAGACTTTGCCAACATTTTGTCCACCTGCATCTCCTCCATTCAACTCCAGGAATCCTACACGTCTTAAAATTTGCATGTCTTAGCTGGGCACCAGTGGTTCATGTCTATAATTCTAGCCAATCAGGAGGCTGAGATCTGAGGATCATGGTTCAAAGCCAGCCTGGACAGGAAAGTCTGTGAGACTCTTTTTTTTTTAAGGACATAGACAAGGTGCTTTTTTTTTTTTTGGGGGGGGGGGGGTCCAGTCACGGGACCTGAACTCTGGGCCTGGGCACTGTTCCTCAGCTCTTCAGCTCAAGGCTAGCGCTCTACCACTTGAGTCACAGCACCACTTCCAGGTTTTTTCTTTTTTGCTTATGTGGTGCTGAGGAATCGAACCCAGGGACTCAGGCATGCAAGGCAAGTGCTCTACCACTGAGAAAACTTCCTAGCCCTCTGTGAGACTCTTATCTCCAATTAACTACCAAAAATTATCTGGAAGTGGCACTGGGATTCAAGTGGAAGAAGAGTTCTAACATTGAACAAAAAGCTCAGGGACAGTGCCTAGGCTGTAAGTTTAAGCCCCAGGACCAGCACAAAAATTGTCTTTATTATAATGTTCAAATATAATTTTATCTAAGAAACCTTCATAAATTCTCCAGGATTCCCCTTATATAGTTAGAAAACATTTATTTCATGTATCTGTTATAGGCTATAGCCTCTTGTGCTCAGTGTAATATTTTTCTTATTCACTAGACTCTGAGGAGAAAACTTGAATCTTTCCTATCTGTATCTCTAGTACTTACACAAAGAATATTCTATGCAATCAAGATACATTTGCTGAATGACTTTTCTTTCAATATATACTAATCACCACAACTCAGTAATGGGATTTAAATATTAAAACCATTGATTTGATTTGAGTCTGAAAAGTAAATTCCAACAATAGAAGACATTCAAGGTGAGTAGCTGTCTGTAAGGTAAATGCACATAAAATTTGCAAAGAACAACTAGAAAGGGAAAGAGATGGATAATGGTATAAGATATGGGGTAGGAATGCAGAAAAAAGTACTAGCTATCACAGACATCACTGTGATGGAAATTCACCAGCCTTGCTTTGCTAGTCAGTGGAAGTGAAAGAAGAATATGGATACTCACTTTTCTGGAAGCGAGGAACTCCATGCCCTTGGCTACTTGAAAGCTATAGCAGATCAGATCCTCCAAAGTGAGAGGGCACTTGTAGAGATCATCTGTGTCTAAAGAAGAACAAAGATTGAAGAAGAAAGTCAAGAGTAATGCCTCATAAGCCTGGAGAGCTAAAGACACCTGATTTCCACAAAATCTTGGAGAATAGAGGCAATTTTTTGACAAGAAGCTTTGTTTTTAAGATGTCATGTATGTTTTTAAAGTGATAATTATATACTTATAGGTATCAAGAACATTTACAAGGTTATCTCAAGAAAAAGTTAATAGCTCATACCTTGATTTTTCTGTGGTTACTGTATATTGCTTCCAGAAAGGATACATAGTTTATCAAGATTTCCTTGGCTTTTTGGGGTAGGAAACAGAAGATAGTGCTCATTTTGTTGGGCTTTGACTTAATCTTTCTAAAAATTGTACTATTTGGGTGCTTCATAAAGTCTATTATAATTCAGTTAATTCATTTGTAACTGTTTGCATACCACCCAATATGTTTAATAATAGATTTATGGGCACATTTTATCTGTCACTAAATGAGAAAAACCATGCAAGCTTTGTTTCTCTGAGTCTGGCTTACTTTGCTTAATGTAATTCTTTCCAAGTCTTTCCATTCCCTTATGATTGGTACAATATCATTCATCCTAATGGATGAGTAAAATTCCATTGTGTATTTAAGCCACATTTTCTTAATCCATTTGTCCAGAGGAGTAAAAAATTAAGGGGATAGTGGGGGATAATGCAGTCAAGAATTCATTCCCTATCATCCTCATTAGAGCTATGAGATTCAGGCATCAACCCTGAGGATTTGTCTTGTTTTGCCTGAGGTCTCTGCCTACTTATGTCTTCCAATGCTGCTTCTGATCTTTCCTGGGTGGTTATACTCCTTCCCAGGTGCCAGTGGCTCATGCCTGTAATTAGCTACTGATGAAGCTGAGATTTGAGGATTGTGGTTCAAAGCCAGCCTGGGCAGAAAAAGCCATAAGACTATTATCTCCAATTAACCACTAGAAAACTGGAAGTGGTGCTGTGGCTCAAAGTTGTAGAGTGCTAGCTTTGAGCAAAAAAGCTCAGGGACAGCACCCAGGCCCTGACTTCAAGCCCCATGACTACTCCCCCCAAAAATAATTTATTGTATATACCACAAAATTGAGAAATTCAAGGGAAGGGCTGGGATGAAGGGGGATGAGACTGTTGAAGTAGGTAACCCGGATCAAGATGCATTGTATTCATATTCTGCTTTATTAAATGATACTTTTCTTGTACAACTACTTAAAGATATTTTTTAAATGAATATGGTTTTTGGAAGCCAGAGTTTTACTGTTTTTTTAATGTCCATGATTCATGGTGACAACAGACTTTAAAATATTGCAATAACATGTGTGGCCGGCATTGATCTGTTCCACTCAATGTATCTTTCCCTCCTCTTTTTCTCAATAGATGTAAAGTTCACAGAAAGTACTTCTGAACTTCCTAAGGTGCATGCACTAGGGTAGTTGCATTAAATGCACCAGAGTAGAATATCCATTAAAAAGACACTGAACAAAGTTTTTTACTTTCTTTCACATGAAGAAAACAGAAACGTAGAGAAGATATGTGACTTACCAAATGGAACATAGTAAAACAAGCAATAAAATACAAATGTAATGAATTATCAAGACAGTGGAAGGCCCCTCATGCTTACAAAAAAGTAGATACCATCTATCAAGGACTTTTTGTAACCCAAAGGACTCTGAAATGACATTAGCAGAGCAAGGAGTGCAACCATCCAGGGAAGATCAGAAGCAACATTGGAGGACATAGGTAGGCAGAGACCTCAGGCAAAATAAGACAAATCCTCAGAGTTGATGCCTGAATCTCATAGCTCTAATGAGGATGATGGGGAAAGATTGGAAGAAGTAAGAAGCCTGAGTTCAGTTTCTACTTCTTTTACTAATTACGTGTGTTGAATAAGCAATCACCTTTGACTAGACCAAATACTGATTCCATATATACTGTGTACGTTACTGGATAACAATAACCTTAGGATAGAGCATAAAGTTTTCTGGAGAAATTTAGCAATAAAAAATGCCAGAGAAGTTCTGTAAAATGGAATTGAGTGTAGGGTTCTAGAACATCTGTACTGTCCCCTGCCTCAAACTCTTGAGAAGAAGGGCCCACTTGTACATACCTACTTGGTGGATGGATGTGGCCCCCACAAGGTGGTGGTTACTTCCTTCTTCCTCATCAGATTCACTGTAACTCTTGTCCTCAATGAAACCTGAGCTGGTGGAACTTCCTGTACTAGCCATGCTCTGCAGACGGTACTTAGTCAGCTGTGTAAGATCATTGTCCAAATCATGAATAGTCTTCATCTTTTTTTCCATATTGAGCTGAGACTGGTAATTTAAATAGAGTCTCAAAATTAGAACAGACATTAAAAATCACCTATTCCACCTTACTTTACATTTCCATTAGAGAAACTAAGGCACAAAAAGATATAAGGCAGTAGCTAAACTCTACATAGCTTGAGTCTAAGTGGATAGTAATGAATACCAACCCAAGGCTCTTTTCCCCATGCCTTAATACCAATTAATTCATCTTTAATAGATAAAAGACCTAGAGCTAGCCACTTTGGGGAAGCATTTTGCCCCAGAAGTTAGCAGAACTTCCGAGGCCCAGAATATTCTATGGAATATGTAATCCAATGGATACCAAATTATAATATTCTTGAGCTCTATGCTCAAAAGGACTTTTCCGGAGCACAGATAATAGAATGGAGCCTCATGATGTTTTAGACCTACTACTTCCTTTCCCGTTGCTAAAACTAGTCTATAGGAGGACCTTGTATCTTAAACTAATACATGGCTAGGTAAGTTGAACACTGACTCAGATAACTGAAGACAAATATTTTTTTCTTCATTTATAACCTAATTTCAGATACTTTCCAAGATAAAGCATGTTTTATGTGATGCAATTCTTTTGCAGTACTCTAAGAAGTGGAGTCAATTAATTTTTCCACCAAGGAGTAAGGAGTATAGCACGCAACATGGACATAAAAGGGAAATGGTAAAAGACTTGAGTTCCTGATCATTTCCTAGAAGTAAAAATTATCTAACCTGAAAAACCTCATCCTGGAGCTCAAGGTTAAATCAGATAGCTTGGACTCATGGCTACAGAAGACTAAGGAAATGGTGGAGTCTTGCATTACCTAACCACTCTGGGCTTCAGAGTGTAATTGAGGCCAACACGAAGCAAAGATATTTCATTCAATGATAAACTGCCTGCTTCAGAGCTCACTGTATTAAAATCTCTATTGAATGTATAAATGCACATCCTATAGTCTTTAACCAATATCATCACTCACCACTGCTATCCTATACTGTTTCTATTCTCCCTTTATTCCTAATTACCAATAGAAAATCTACAGAAAGGACTCCAATATTGGAAATGAGTATGGAGTTCTTTTGGGGAACTTACCTTGGAAGCAATAAAATCTCCTCTCTTTCCTCTCAGGAAGTTGGCCAGATTTCCATATTTGCAGAATTCTACTATGATCATCAAAGGACCTACCAAAAAATGTTCATGAACTATGATGCGATGTAGCAAACTCTTTGACTATCCTTGTTTTGGTGACCTTATGATTAGGGATGTCTTACAATATCTTGAAATAGCTCTAGTCATAAATAACTTGACTATAACTAATGTTAAAAAGAATGGTGATTGTCTTTTGAAAAAACAGACTGGTAAAGAAGGAGGAGAAAGGTTAGCAAAAGTAGTTTGAAGACTGTCAAAGTAAGGTCAACGAACCTCCTGAGCTTGACTCTGAAGTATACTGGGATGTGTAACATGGAAGAAACTATAATCAACAGGGAGAAATAAAGAATTCCAGGCCAAGAACTGTAATCTTAAATACTTAGGAGGCTGAGATCTGAGGATATGAGGATCTGAGGATCACAGGTCAACACCATAAGTGGAGCTATGGCTTAAAGTGGTAGAACAATAGCCTTGAGAAAAAGCTCATGTACTGTACTCATGCCCTGAGTTCAAGCCCCAGGACTGACCCCCCCCCCCAAAAAGAGAAGAAGGATTCCTAAGATAAATACAAATGAAAGCAACTCATGGAAATGAACCCAACATTGCAGAAGATACTTTCAAAGAATTCAATACACAATTCAGGAAGATAATTGTAATCATTACAATCATTAGAGCTCAAGAAAGAATAAATCTAATGAGAAGAACAGATAAACAAGTGAGAATTGGGAAAGAATCAAATATTTTCAGCTATGTAATCCAACAACCATCTGAGTAAGAGAGAAAGAGAAGAACAAAGCGTACTAAATAGGCTGGAGGAGAACAATAAAGGTATGAAAATTAGCAAAAAAAAAAAAATCAAAATAATAATCTAAGTGAAAATGGTGTCAACTCTAACTCATACTGGCTGAATGGATTGAAAAACAAAATCCCATTATATGGTGTCTGTAAGAAACACAATTTGCTTGTAAAGACTACATATATTAGGAGTAAAAGAATGGAGAATGGCATTTCAAGAAAATATAATCCAAAAGCAAGCTGATAAAGTAAATCCAATCCAAAATTAGTCAGAAAAGATAAAGAACATCACTACACAATAATGAAAGGAACAAGAAGATATACTGGTTTTAAGTACAGATGCAACAAATAATTGTGCACATAAGTTCATAAAAAACATAACTGAACATAAAGATACATAAATGTCCAGATAACGTGGTAGTGGAAGATTTCAGTATCTCACTATCATCAAGAAATAGATCATTATGACAAAGAGTTAAGGATGAAACTTCAAAGTTAATATGCATCATAAATCAAATGGACTTAACTAATATCTATGTTTTCCATAGACATTAAATACAAAAAGAGAATAACTTGTTTCTTGCCAAACAATAAATAAATCTAGAAATTAGAAACTCAAAATTACAGAAAGTATATAAAATGGGCAAAATGAACATTATGATTTATTTTGATCATTGGGTCACTGAAGAAATCAGAGAAAATTAAAATGTCTTAGAATAAAATATAAATGAGAATATAAATTTCCAAAACTGGTGTGATACAGCAATTCAAAGAGGGAGATTTGTAGCTATGAGCACAAAATAATGACCTAATAATTCATCTTAATGTCTTAGAATATCAAAAAATAAAGGAAAACTAAAATTAATGGAATAGAAGAAGTAATAAAGCTCAGTTTTAAAGTTCATCAACTGGAAATCAAAAGAACAATTCACAAAATCAATAAAATAAAAGAGTTCTTTCAAAACTAAGTAAGGGGGCTGGGAAGGTAGCTCAGTGATAGAATGATTGCCTTGCATGCATGAGGCCCTGGGTTCGATTCCTCAGCACCACATACACAGAAAAAGCTGGAAGTGGCGCTGTGGTTCAAGTGGTAGAGTGCTAACTTTGAGCTGAAGAGCTGCGGGACAGCACCCAGGCCCAAAGTTCAGGCCCCATGACCAACAAGAAAGAAAGAAAGAAAGAAAGAAAGAAAGAAAGAAAGAAAGAAAGAAAGAAGGAAAGAAGGAAAGAAAGAAAGAAAGAAAGAAAGAAAGAAAGAAAGAAAGAAAGAAAGAAAGAAAGAAAGAAAGAAAGGAAGGAAGGAAGGAAGGAAGGAAGGAAGGAAGGAAGGAAGAAAGAAAGGAAGGGAAGAAAGAAAGAAAGAAAGGGAAGGAAGGAAGGAAGGAAAGAAGGAAGGAAGGAAGGAAGGAAGGAAGGAAGGAAAGAAAGAAAGAAAGAGAAAGAAAAGAAGGGAGGGAGGGAGGGAGGGAGGGAGGGAGGGAGGGAAGAAGGGAGGGAGGGACAGAAAGAGGGCGAGGGAGGGAAAGACTTTAAAATAGTTGAATAAAATGATAGTGAAGTGCCATAAAGTAGAAAAAAAAAGAAAGAAAGAAAGTAAAAAAGGTTATTTTGGGCTGGGAAGGTAGCTCAGTGGTAGAGCGCTTGCCTTGCATGCATGAGGCCCTGTGTTCGATTCCTCAGCACCACATAAGCAAAAAGAAAAAAGTCAGAAGTGGTGCTGTGGGTCAAGTGGTAGAGTGCTAGCCTTGAGCTGAAGAGCTGAGGGACAGCGCCCAGACCTAGAGTACAGGCCTCACGACCGGGCCCCCCCCCCCCAAAAAAAAAAGTTAAAAAAAAAAAAAGGAAAAAAGGTTATTTAGAATAGTTGAATAAAAGGATACTGAAGTACTATATATTAGAAAAATGAAAGCCTTTGTTTCAGGTGCAGATAAAGGGTTTAAAACTGTTAATAGACATGGAGTAGAAAATGATTGTAGAATAAATAGGTGAAATCTTCAGGCTACTGAGCTACAGAATCTCCTGCACTGACTAGTTTGCTATATTTTGGAGCCCAAAGTGTATTCTTCACAACTCATGTGCTCAAGTTCTCATAGGGTATTGAGCTGTCAGAAATCATAGATATAAGCCCAATCCCTTTATAATAGTCTTCTTTTGAGTTGGTGGCAAAGAACATAGGCATTGGAAATCTTGTACAGTGAAAGAAAAATTTAAGTTTAAAGAATCTCGGGCTGGGAAGTTGGCTCAGTGGTAGAGCGCTTGCCTTGTATGCCTGAGGCCCTGGGTTCGATTCCTCAGTACCACATAAGCAAAAAGACAAAAAGCCGGAAGTGGCGCTGTGGCTCAAGTGGTAGAGCGCTAGCCTTGAGCTGAAGAGCTGAGGGACAGCACTCAGGCCCAGAGTCCAGGCCCCACGACTGGACCTCCCAAAAAAAATCTCATATGCAGTACAGGAAGGCATATCTACATCAGTATCTACCTTTCTCCTAGAAACATGACCCTTAAGAAGCAGTTCTGGATAGCTATGGAAAAGTTACCTCCAGGCTTAGTGCAAGCACCAAGTAAGTTGACCACATTGAGGTGATGACCAATGTGAATGAGGATCTTCAATTCTGACATCAAAGCTTTGCACTCACTGGATGTTGCACAATCTGCTTGAAATAAGCACAGTCATTTAACAATAGAATTTTTGTCCCTAGGAGAAGTAAGTAAAGCAGAGAAAATCCTGCATACTGGTAAGAAATTCTAGGAGAGAGGTCTAGAATACAATCACTCATTTATTGCTTGTCTTTTCCAAATACTATTATAAATAAATACATAAAGAAAACATTCACATGCACTTATTTACTTATTCTCTAAGCTGTATGTACTTTCAGTAAACCTTCCATGTTCCTGTTTTGAAATGAGCACTCATAGCTATTCCTCCTTGTGATAAACTTTTTCTGTGTTACTAACCTGGAAGAGGTAATCAATAACTTCCCTCAGATTGGTTTAAGAGATAGTTTACATGGATTGAATAGTTTTAGAACATATAAACACTCATTTGCCTGTTCAAGACTGGAAGCATACTACTGCTTTTTGCATCCCTGAACATGAGAATATAGTTGTAATTCTAAGATTATTTTATTTCACTTAATTTCTACTAAGCCCTGTAGAAATTTTGGTAGTTACATCATGCTGTTGACTCATATCGACCTTACAATGAACTACAATTGTGAAAACTTCACTTCTACACTCAGGTTGTACCAAAAAGAATAATAATAAAGGGGCTGTCATGTAAGGTCCCTTGATGATTCACTTCAATTTTCAAGGCTAATGTTTCCATGAACACATAGATTTAAACAGGTTGAAAGTTGGATGTAGTTACATCTTTCTACTACTTCTAATTTGTGTCATTTTTAGTCCAGATTTCCACCTGCCCTGAGAATATCTACAGATATGCCGTCATAGCCTCCCATGGTATAGAAATATTACCTTTAAGCATTTTCACTGCCACTGTTTTACAAGTTGACGCTCTGTCAATGCCAAAGGCACAAGCTTCCATCACTTTACCAAAGGCACCATGACCAAGAATTTTACCTGTGGTGGCAAGAAGTGAAAATTAGCAGTAGTGAAAAGACACCAAAGAGAAGGAGAAATTTGGCTTTGGTAACAGATAACAGAACAGACAAGCATTTATATGGAGATTTTCATACCATCCTGCAGGAAATACCAATGCAATTAAATTTGCATTCTTTCTTTTCGTGGTAAATTTTTTTGGGGGGGGGGTCAGTCATGGATCTTGAACTCTACCAGTTGAGCCACAGTGCCACTTCTGGCCTTTTCTGTTTATATGGTGCTGGGGAATCAAACCCAGGGCCTCATGCATGTGAGGCATATTCTACCACTGAGCCACCTTCCCAGCTCTATAAATGTTTTCTTTTAGCAGTAAATTTTTTCTTCAAAACATTTGTTAATTCTCTACATTATATTATTCAAGACATTATTATATTGTTTACATCATTTTATTTGTCTACTTTACTAAGCTGTAAAGTCAGTAAAGCCTGTCTTCTTTATCACTGTATTCCTAGCATCTACAATAATGTTAGTACATGATTGATGTCTAATAAATAAATGTGGAATAAAAGAATGAAAGGCTATCACATAGCAGCTGTGTAAAGAACTACTTGGGTTGATGAAGGACTCACTTGTTACTAGAACTCTGGATATATTTCTATAACATTCATTGTCAAAGAGACTATTATAAACTAATCTAACATTTTTGAGCATTTTAAAGCTGTAAAAAGATTTCCAAATGTTATTTCACTGGATTCTCACTAAAGTTATATGAATCAATATTAATATCTTCTTTTTATAGATGAGAAAAATAAAACTCAGAAAGCATGTTGCCTATCCTGTTTACCCATCTTGTATATCTAAAAATTCCAATTCTAATGTTATGTGTATAATACATCTCTGCTACCATAATATATTATAGCAGAATTAAGTTACTTTAATGAGCTGATGGAAAGAGTCAGAATCAATTTTTGAAGGATAGTCAAATCTATGAAAACTTAAAATAACAAGGGAACGGGGCTGGGAAGGTGGCTCAGTGGTAGAGCGCTTGCCTTGCATGCTTGAGTCCCTGGGTTCGATTCCTCAGCCTCACATAAGCAAAAAGAAAAAAGCAGGAAGTGGCGCTGTGGCTCAAGTGGTAGAGTGCTAGCCTTGAGCTGAAGAGCTGAGGGACAGCACCCAGGCCCAGAGTTCAGGCCCCACGACCAGACCCAAAAAAAAAAAAAAAATAACAAGGGAACACCTTATTGAAGAATGAAACATTAGCCAGGCATTAGTGGCTCATGCCTATAATCCTAGCTACTCAGGAGGCTGAGATCTGAGGAAAGTCCATGAGACTCTTATCTCCAATAAACGATCAGAAAACCAGAAATTGCGGTGGCTCAAGTAGTAGAGCACTTGCCTTGAGCTGAAGAGTTCAGGGACAGTGTCCAGGCCCAGAGTTCAAGCCCCACGACCACACACACACACACACACACACACACACACACACACACACACACACACACACACACACACGAATGAAACATTGTTCTATGCTAAGAAAATGGCATTCCTATTCTATTTTCTATTGCCACTGTGTGTGAGAGAGAGACAGAGAGAGAGAGATGAGAGAAAGAGAGAGAAAGACAGAGAGGAGAGAGAGAGAAAGAAAGAGAGGGAGAGGGGAGAGAGATAGTACTTGGCTTGAACACAGGGCGGCCTGAGCACTGTCCCTTAGCTTTTTCAATCAAGTCTGACACTGGACCACTCAAGCCACAGCTCCACTTCTGGCTATTTACTGGTTAACTGGAGATAAGAGTCTCATGGATCTGTTTGCTGGGCCGGGTTGAAACTGTGATCCCCAGATCTCAATCTTCTGAGTAGGTACAATTACAGCCAAGAGGTACTAGTGCCTGGTTCAATTGCCATCTTTGTGATCCATCCCACTTTGTCTAAAGCCATCAGCACTACATAAATAACCCAGGTGCATCCTAGATTGCAATTAGTTTATTTCTTCCACAGTAATGTTATAAGTCTATTGAGAAAGGAATGTTGAGGGATATTGGTGCTCACCCAGCTGTAACCGATCTCTCGGAAATTCCCATTTACTGTCATCGTAGGGAAGCCTGTCACATTGTTGGTCAAGAGGCATCTCTTCAGGATCCATTATGATGGAGAGGTAGCCAGTTTTTATTTCTGACACATTAGGCTGCAAAAAATGGGGGAGTGGGGAACATTACTATGTTTTCTTGATTTTCTGATGGGTTATAAGGGCTCTTAAATTTCCTATTTTAAATTTTGGGCTAGCTCAGAAACTCAAAAAGACATTTAAGCAAGTAAAAATAATAAAGAGCACTGTACTACACAAACATAACAACTTAGGATAATAGGCCAATACTCATGTAGAAATATTTAAATTTTAAAAATAAGGACTACTGTTAGTTACAATTACAAATTAGAGAACTTAAGGGCTATGTCCTTCCCCCAAAGCAACTAATAAGGTGGCAGAAATGAGCATCATCAACATTTGAAGAGCACTTGGATCTGTTAAAAATTAAAATAACAAGAGAAGACCTTATTAAAGAAAAAAGCAGCTGCTTTATGGTAAGAGTGTGCCATAACATTTTAAATGTGCATCTCCAACATCTGGTATTAGCAGCATACATAAAGATAGCAACTCCTGGGGGTATGATTCTTAATGTCAAAAGAAACAATACGACATTTACTTTAAAGTTAGGTCCATAGCTTTTAAGCTATCTAGAAGATTCCTCAAGGACCAGTAGTACAAGGAGTTCTCTTTATTTAATCAAACTCAGGGCATAAGCAGAAAATGATTGCATTCACAGGCAAGATTGCTGAAAGCATTTGTAGGTAAAGCTATTGGCCAAAACACTCTGCAAAAAAGTAAACAACTTTGCACAAATACTGAGAAACATTGGAGGGAAAAGGTTTCTAAAAATGAGATACAGATGGGAATAAGAGTTTAAAACACGAGCTGGGGAGGTGGCTCAGTGGTAAAGCGCTTGCCTTGCATGCCTGAGACCCTGGGTTCGATTCCTTAGCACCACATAAGCAAAAAGAAAAAAAAGCCAGAAGTGGCGCTGTGGCTCAAGTGGTAGAGCACTAGCCTTGAGCTGAAGAGCTGAGGGACAGCACCCAGGCCCAGAGTTCAGGCCCCACAACCGGACCCAAAAAAACAAAACAAAACAAAAAAAGAGTTTAAAACACTACTGAGTATACTAGAAAATAAAAAGGTGATAGGCATGCTTTGGGGGTGACAGTATGATAAGAAAAGTCTTTTGTTCTCTGATAGACTTAAAAGCAGGAAGTGAAGGCTAAAGCAGAAATGTTAATAGCATGCCTAAGGATTGAAACATTGACTGCACATAGAACCAATATATAGTAACATTTCTGTATATCAAGAATAATTGTGTGAGGAAAAAAAAAAACAGGAAAACAATCACATTCAAAACAGACTTAGAAAGCCTTAAATACCTGGGAACAAATTTGGTATCGAACAATGAAATAGAATACACAACCTGGAAATAAGCCAGAACCTGCTAATCTTTGAAAAAGGTCCACAAAATCATTGTTGAAGAAAAGATAGCCTCTCAATAATTAGTGCTGGGAGAAGACTGGGGATGTCCACATGTAGAAGACTAAAACAGCTCCCTTTCTCTCACCATGTACTAATAATAATTGAGAGTGGATCAATGATTTTAATATAAGACATGAAGCTTTGAAACTAATACAAGTAAATATATCTTTACTGAAAGATAAAGGAATAGGCACAAGAAAACTTCTTGAATAGAACTGCAATTGCTCAGCAAATAACAGGAAGTATTGTCAAATGGGACTGCATCAAAATGAAAAAGCTATTTTGCAGCCAAGGAAATAGTAACTAGAATAGAGAAACACATTACAGAAGGGAGAAAATCAACAATCCAATCATTAGTTTGGCAAATAAACTCAATTGACAATTCTCAAAAGAAGTTCAAATGGAGAGGGTGAAGGATGGGGAATATGGTCAAAGTATTTTATGTGCATCAATGCAGAGCAATGTAACCTGTTGATGTTGTTTTAAGGGGTGGTGGGCAGAGGGACTTATTGATCAAGGTACATTGTATGTATGAATAGAAATATCACAATTAGTTATAGTACAACTAATATATACTAATAGTTTTTAAAGTAAAATGCATACACTTCATGTATCTGAAAAATAAATCACCATAAAAGTATAACAATAAAGAAAATGAAGAAATTAGAATACTCTCAGATAACAAAACAGTCTGCCACTAGTAGACTTGCCCTACAAAAAAAAATACTAAGGAAAGTCCACACTGAAATTATAGTAGACAGTGACTTAAACCCATACAGTGAAATAGAGGAGAATGATAAAAGGCACTACGTAAGAATATAAATATTATCATATTTTTACATTTTAGGAGCATCAATTAGTTGTACAAAGGAGTTACATTTTGACATGCCCATATGTGCATACAATGTATCTTGATGAGACTTAGTCCATCACTCTCCCACATTCTCCTCTCCTTTTTTCCCAAACGCAATCCAACAAAATTTGTTGTTCTCTTTGCAGACATGCACATGAAGTATTTTGACCACATCTACCTTCTTTATCTTCTGCATTGGCCCCTCAAATCCCTCTATAACCCAAACCTAGGATAGGAGGTATTTACAGGCCTCTCATCTTTTTCTTGTATGCTGTGTCCAAATAGTTTTCACTGCAGTATTTCACACATGCATATATAATATTTTAATCAGATTGACTCTTACTCTCACTTTCCCCACCCCATTACCCCCTATTATTCAACAGCTTTCAGCAAGTCTAATTATGTTGTATTTATTCAAAGTTGCACTATATTTCAGTTTTCAACTTCTAACATCTTTTCCTCTCAACTCTTTAAATCCCTCAAACATCCCCACAATTACAAAGCATGTTATGTGTGTGTGTGTGTTTATTCCTCAATGTATTTAGACATATATTTATCTTTCAGATCTAGCATACACTTATGAGAGACAATATGTGACCTTGTCTTTGAACCTAACTTACTTTGCTTAACATTATTTTCTCCAGTTGCATCTATTTCCCTTCAAATGATATAATTTCATTCTTTTTAAGGCCAAATAATTCTCCACTTTGTTTGTACATGTACCAAATTTTCTTGACCTTTCAGCAGCTCTAAGGCATCTGGGCTGTTTCTATAGACTGGATATAGTGAACAATGCTGCAATAAACATGAGTATCATAAATGCTTCCATTATATCCTGTCTTATATTGCTAGGGATATATGCCCCAGATTGGTATCACTGGGTTGTATGGTAGTTTACTTTTTTTAGTTTTTTAGTTTTATGAGAAACATGTATGCTATTTCCACAGTGGTTCCTCACTTTGGGTTAAACAGAAAAGATCTTAAAAGTCTTCCGGTGTGCTTTTAGAAATATTCCTCTAATAGATAGCCACCATATTTTCCTGTTTTTTCATTCTCTAGTTTCAAGAATCATCTTTGCCGTCAATCTTCTTTGCTCTAGCTCCTCATATAACTACTGAATAAAGACTTGAAGTGGGTTTCCTAAACCCCAGCTGGTATTACTGATGCTATTATCGCTCTGACAACCCTACAGAGTAACAATGCAGCTAGCAGCTTGTATCTGTATTTTAAAAATGAGTCTCATACAATCATCGAATTACTATATATAATCACCAAGTTTCTATACTCATCTATAGGCAGTTTCTCAAAGAACTGGACTAATAATGCTTTATAAGGGACTTGAAGAAACCTTTTAGTCCATTGCTTTTCTTTTTTTTCTTGAATTCTGGTACAAGGTTTACATTTTAATATACTAGTGACAGCTGTTCCACAGATATTATTTTTAAAAAATCACATAATGTTTAGCATTCATCTTGTAAGAAAAATATACAAATCAACAATAAGGTACAAATTTTATGATTTATTAGCAATAACACATTATTATTTGTAGCTAGTCATCCCATTTTGATTAGCTTTTCCACAAATAACACACAAATATATATTAATGGCTCCAATTTCCAGCTTCATCATAATTTTATTTCCAAAGTCATTTAGCTCATTGTCTAGAAATAGGAAGTTCTCAGACTTTGAATATTCAAAATTTATTATTTGTAACTAGAAGCTAGAGAACAGCATGGAAAAAACTCATGTGTATGTTCACTCCACTCTCTGGAATTCATCAACCCATGTAGTAATGGTTTACATCCTGTACCAATTGCTTTGAAAGGTTTGGTATATCAAATGTACCCTAAGATGCAATTTCTTCCTAGAACAGTGAAGAATTTAGTTATAGTCAATGCTTTATAGTGAATTCAAACATATTACATTAGTTGTTGATATGATTTTTAGAAAAATCAATGGTACCCTTAGAATTACTCTGAAAAACACCAAGAAATGGTAACCTCCTTAGAAACAAAACCTCCTTCAGAAACAATTTCTAAATCAACTGAAATGGACTCTTGAAAGCGACTTTAAAATTAAAGCAAAATAACATGCATGCAATCTAGCTACCTAAGAGGCTGAGATTTAAGAATTGTGGTTCAATGCCAGACCAGGCAGGAAAGCCTATGAGGCTCTTATCTCCAATTAACCACCAAAAAGATAAAAGTGGAGTTGTAGCTTAAGTGATAGAGTACTAGCCTTGAGCAAAAATACTCAGCAATAACTCCCAGACCCTGAGTTCAAGCCCCAAGACTGGCAAAAAGCACAACAACAATAAAAAATAACATTTTTAACTTTTTCCATGCTACTCTTCATAAGATCTCTCCCCCCGCCGCCCTCTCTCTCTCTCTCTCTCTCTCTCTCTCTCTCACACACACACACACACACACACACACACACACACACACACACACACGAATATTAAGAGACTTTCATACCTAATTTCTTCTTTCCTATTAAAAAATGCAGTTGTTCATTTCTTCCTGTTCATTATAAACTATAGTTTGGGTAAAATTTTGTAACTACATAGATTATTGTGTGAAGTGGGGGAGGTATTGACAATGAAGAAATGGCTAAGACTTCTATTAGCAGCCTTTTAGCTTCTCTAAATAAATTTTGGAATAATCTGAGGAGAGAATTTATTATTCGAGAAAGACAGCTGGTAAGCAACATAAATAAGTCTCTTGTATATTATCTGGTCATAAATCTATTTTACATT